CTCTCTCACTGTCTCTCTCTCTGTCAAATAAATAAATAAAATCTTTAAAAAAATATATATATGAGAGAGAGAGAGCGAGCGAGCAGGGGGAGGGGCAGAGAGAGAATCTCCAGCAGACTCCCTGAGCTCAACACGGGGAGCATGGAGCCCAATGCAGGGCTCATATCATGACCTGAGCCAAAATCAAGAGACGGGTGCTCAACTGACTGAGACACCCAGTCAGGTGTCTGGATTATTTATATTCTTTGATTATGCTCATCCCTTTTTACCTTTCTGCCTCTGCCTACCTTGTTTTCTACCTAGAAGAACCTTTCTTCTTTAATCTTTCCTTGTTCTAATCTTCCTTCCTTTCCAAAGTTTAGCTCATAGTGCCTCTCTTATAAAGTGTCCCTTTCCTCCCACCAAGTAAACTCCATTGGAACCTGCACAATACTTTACATTATTATAGTACATGTGGCATTTTGCCTTGTATTTTAGTTCTCTTAATGTTTCTTAATATCTTCTATTTGGCCATTATCCTGTGGAGGGCAAGGATCATAAGTTACTCAATTTGCATATCCACTACCACCACAACACACTTAATAGTATTTACCATAGTAGTCACTCATTAAATACTTGAGGAACAAAAGGATAAATGTAAGTTATATTTCCTCTCTCTTTCTTTTGCTCTCTTATGGTTCGGCTTTGGTTGTAGGATTCCATGATTACTTACCTAGTTTGACATAAACCCTGTGTAAAAGTATATATCCACCTTAGGATATCCATCCTGAATTTCTGCTTTTGCTATTAGTGGCAGCTGTCATAAAATCTGCTTAGGATGGGAAGGAATGGGAGGTCTCAGTTGGGATACTGGTTCTGTAAATCCATGTCAACTTTGACAATTCCCTTCTCTTCCTCTCACCTTTTTCAAACATAAAGGTTATTCTAAAAGGAAAGTTAATGCTTTACCTCGGTAATAAGCATTTCTAGCAGAAATAATTTTAATCTAACAATACACTGTATGTTAATTGAATTTAAAGAAAAATATTTTAATCATTTGCATATACTAGTCAATATAATGCACTGGAGAAACATAGGTATTTGTATGGCTTATCTAAGGACAATAGAAGGAAGAGGATTTAAAATCATGTTGTTTTCAAAAGACTTCTCAGGGCTCTGGTTTCTCTCTGCCAAAATGGAGCTTAGAAGATGTAATTAACAGGATGTTATGTGAAAGCACTTAACTCTGTGGTTGGCATCTATTAGGGACTTCATAAATGTGAATATTTCCTTCCAGGTCTACGATAAGTTTCTGAGAATAAATAAGTGTTGCCTTTTTATTTTTTATTTTTTATTTTTTAAATTTTTTAAAATTAATTAATTTTTTTTAGAGAGGGAGAGAGAATCCCAAGCAGGCTCCATGCAGGGCTTGATCTCACAACCCTGAGATCATGACTGGAGCTGAAATCAAGAGTTGGATGATTAACTGACTGAGCCACCCAGGCACCCCTAAGTGTTGCCTTTTAAAATTGGGGTTTTCATCTCTAGATTTTGTACATCCCTATAATTTTGAAACTTTATTCTTTGGATCTAACATCTGCTATAGGAAAGTAAACTCTACTGTTCAGTTTTCATAATTATGGAAGGAGATCTCATTTTGGAAAATGATTGAACCTTGTTTAGTATAGAGATAATGCCTTTTGCTCATATTCCCTTTAGTATCTAGCAGTGAATCTTTTATGTAGTAAATGATCAATAATCATTTTTTTCTTATTTATACAGATAGTACACATCCTAAATATGACTTCTGCAAAGATAATTTCTTTTTTGTTACCACCTGATGAAAGTCTTCATTCACTACAGTCTCGTATTGAGCGTGAAACTGGAATAAATACTGGTTCTCAAGAGCTTCTTTCAGAGACAGGAATTTCTCTGGATCCTCGGAAACCAGCCTCTCAATGTGTTCTAGATGGAGTCGTAAGAGAATTCTAATATACCTAGAGTATAAGAAATCTTTTAGCATAAAGGGATTGCATGGCCTGCATTTTTTTGATGCTTAGTCGGAATCTCCTTGGGGGGGGTGGTGCACACCTTACAATTCTTACTTTAATTTTATCCTATTCATTACTCTTATCATTGCTTTGCAAGGTGAACAAGATATGTTTTAAACTTTGTGTGACTTTCTCTTTGGTGCCAGTTTTCTCCCCTTTCTTTTTTTCCCCTTTTGTACTTAAAGCCTAGAACCTTGAAATTAGACCAGCAGTGTCGTAGATCCTGCCAGAGGATAGATGGATGGTAAAATATTGTGCTCATGACTCTTGTTGTTCTTGTCATCGTTTTACTTTATTGAGGCAAATTTTATATATCATGTAATTTACCCATTTCATGTGTACAATTCAATGATTTTTTTTTTAGTAAATTTGCCTAATTGTGCAGCCATTGCTATAAATCAGTTTTAAGAAATTTCCATATCAATAAGATCCTTCATGTCCACTGACTCTTAATCTCCATTCTGTTCACTTCAGGCAACTACTAATTTACTTTCTATCTCTATAATTTGCCTTTTCTAAACACTTCGTATAAGTGAAATCATACAGTCTGTAGTCTCTTGTGTCTGACTTCTTTCATTTAGCATTATGTTTTGGAGGTTCATTCATGTCCTAGCATGTATCAGAACTTCATTCCTTTTGATTACTGAATATTCCCATTATATGGATATATGTTGTTATGACTTTTTGCTTTTGTCCTTTTGGGTCTGGTGATTGTTTTCACTTTAGCCCATACTACAGTTATTTATTTTTCCTAAATAGTAATCTAGACCTTAAATCTGTAAGGTGTAGCTGATAAACATTGACATTATTCATTTGCATTTCACATTAGGAAATGTGTGTTTAAGTACTTAGAGAACCTAGTATTTTCAAGGATTTTTTTTTTAATTGTTTCTTTTTCAGAGAGGCTGTGATAGCTATATGGTGTATTTGTTCGATAAAAGTAAGACTGTATATGAAGGACCATTTGCTTCCAGAAGTTTATCTGACTGTGTAAATTATATTGGTAAGTATAGCTCATTTACTGACTGAGGTTTAAACCTGAAATAATATAATTTTGACTCAATATGGTTAGTAGAAATGGTCTTTTGGTGTTTCTGTTCTATATCTCATACTTTGGGTTTTTAAGTGTGGTGAAAAATGAATTTATATAGTTTGGAAGGTGAAATGGTAGATTTCAAGTCACCTCTAGATCCTCATTTGGAAGAAGACTTACTTTCCACAGGATAGGGCTCTTGCAGAAGAATGGATCTCCACTATTAATTAAGCCTACTTTCTAGTTGTTCCTTCATTATTTAAGTATGTTCATGTATTTCATTTTATCATATGAATACTGCTTAATGTTCAAATGTTTTCATTTATCCTGTGAAAATTACTTTCTTTGGAAGAAGTGATCAATTTCTGTATACCCAAAACTAAAATCAAGCATAATATTGTAAAATCAAGAACAAAACTGGGCATAGGGCTAAAAATATGTAATCTTTCCTCTGTTACCTTTTTGTTAGTTTTTTTAACAACAGTTTTAAATTTACAGCAGAATTGAATAGATAGTACAAAGTTCTCATGTTATTCCCCTTCCCAACACATATTGTTTCCCCAGTTGTTAACATCTTATATTGTATAGTACATTTGTTACAAGTAAAGAACCAATATGTAATTATTAGGTAAAGCCCATACTTTATTCATTTTTCCTTAGTTTTTATCTGGTGTCCTTTTTCTGTTCCAGGATCTCCTCCAGGACATCACATTACATGTAGTTGTCTTGTCTCTTTAGGCTCCTCTTGGCTGTGACAGTTTCTCAGACTTTTCCTTGTTTTTGATCACCTTGACAGCTTTGAGGAGTACTGGTCAAGTATTTTTTAGGATGTTCCTCTGTTGCAGTTTGATTTTTTTTTTCCCCTCTTGATTAGAGTAGGATTAGGGTTTTGAGAGAAAGATCACAGAAGCAAAGTGTCATTTTCATCACATTATATGAAGAGTACATACTTCCAGTGTGATTTATGACTCTTGGTGATGACCTTGGATCACCTGGCTGAAGTAGTGTCTCTCAGGTTTCTCCACCTTAAAGTTTAGTCTCTTCCCCCCCGTTCCATACTGTACTCTTTTGAAGGAAGTCACTATGTAGAACCCAAGGAATGGGGAGTTATGCTCCCCCTCCTTTAAGGATATAGTACATAATTTATTTGGAATTCTTTTGCATGTGACATTTGTCTCTTCTCTCCCATTTATTAATTTATTCAATCATTTATTCTATCAATATGGATACATGGATATTTATCTTATACTCTGATTATAACCCAAGACTATTTTGTTCTTCAAATTGTTGCATCTTTGGTCACTAGGAGCTCTTTCATTTGGCTTTCTCTGCCCCTTTTATTTGTGCCATCAATTAGGGTTTTTCAATTTTTTTTTTTTTAGCACTTCCTTTCTGGCACCAAAACATGTTCCAGGTCTATCTTGTGCATTTCTTGCCCCAGTCCTAGGATCAGCCATTTCTCCAAGGAGCCCTGGTTGCTTTATTTGGAGAGTAGTGTTAGAAACCAAAATCTGGACACTAGGAGTGCTTCTTGATACTGGAGTATCATTTCTTAGGCCCTTTTATTTTTTAAAATATATGATTTGTGTGTGTGTGTGAAAAGACTCCCCTCCCCTAGACTCTTTTTCTTTAAAGTGTCTGGGTTATTTTGTTTTTGTTTGGTTTGGGGTTTTTTTGTTTGTTGTAGGAAGTCTCAGGAGTAAGAATGGGTATATAAGAATAGAAGAAAGGTTACTTGAGACAATTATTAGGGGAGATAAAGATTTTTCCAGATATATGGTTTTATTTTTTTTAAGTCTGCTTCAGATAATGTGATTTTTCAGTATTAACCCAGTGTAGTATCATTTCTCTGAATGTTTTCATTGGAAAATAATAACGGAGACTATAATTGCCACCTTAAAGGATAGGACGAATCTCTCAATCTTGGAGAATTTCATAACGTTAAAATGGAATTTCAATGAACTTAACGTATATCTGCCATAGTTTTATTTTTTTACTTAATTTATTTGAGAGTGAGAGGGAGAGAGCATGAGCAGGGGGAGGGGCAGAGGAAGAAGCAGACGCCCCGCTGAGCAGGGATCCCAGCGTGGGGCTCAATCCTGGAACTCCCAGATCATGACCTGAGCCCAAGGCAGACACCCAACCAACTGCATCACCCAGGCGCCCCTCCCATGGGTGAAAGTAGCATTCCCTTTACTAAGGGCAAGAGATAACCATCAATAAATAATTTTATATATCTGGCATTGAAGAAAGCATATTTTACTAAATTGCTATTTACCCTATATGTTTTTCTCAAGTTGGGTTGGTAGTCCAGGAGATGAAATTTATTATTCAAAGGCAGGAAAGATGATGGAAAGATTGTGGAGGACATGGGACTTCATTTAGAACTTGAAAGAAATAAAGAATTCGGATTTATGGAGAAAAAAGGGAGTATTCCCTGTTAGATGCAAGGAAAAAAAAAAAAGATATAGGAATAATTGCGAGCTTTGTGATTATATAGTGATTATTCATTTTTATTTCCCCTCATACCTGGAATAGGGCTTGTGTATTGCAGGTGGTCAGTAAATATATATTGAACTGAATTAAACAGTAAGAATTTATTCTTTCTAGCATCAGGTTCTAGAATCTATGGGAATGATATTTGTATGGACAGGAAATCAGAAAGAATGATAGACAAACTCTAAAATTTTAAAAAGTAACTTCCCTCCTCTTTTTTCCATCTTTTTACATAAAGTACGGGACAGCAAAATACAGCTTCCAATTATACAGCTGCGTAAAGTATGGGCTGAAGCAGTACACTATGTGTCTGGGCTAAAAGAAGACTACAGCAGGCTCTTTCAGGGACAAAGAGCAGCAATGTAAGTGGATTCTGTTGTTTATAGGTGCAATGTCATGTGCATTAATGCTCAAGAATTAATCTTGCTGTTTTCACTAATCAGTATTCCATGCAATACTGAAATATTGGGCTAATCTGAAGTGTAATATTCTGACCAGACTTACAGAATTCCTACTAATGGTCTGAAACCATCCAGTTGCAATAGTTTGAGAGTATTTCCTGAAAGGTCCTGGTATAAGAAGATTGTGTTATCTTAGAATATCACAGGCAGGGAGTCTTTAGAGATTAGATTCTAGAGATTAACTATTTCTCAGATTGATAATAGAAACTTAGGCTTTGGATTTATGGCAATTCAAGCTATTAAATTTTTGTCCAGTGTTTCTGAAATACTGATTTTTTTTTTTGGCTGTGGTTTAGGTTAAGTCTTCTTAGATACAATGCTAACTTGACAAAAATGAAGAACACTTTGATCTCAGCATCTCAGCAACTGAAAGCTAAATTGGAGTTTTTCCACAAAAGCATTCAGCTTGACTTGGAAAGATACAGTGAGCAGATGACTTACGGGATATGTGAGTGTTCGGGTAACATGTTTGAAAGAAGTGTTGAATCTCTTGAAGCTGTCTGCTACTTTGCCTTCTTGCCTCAGAGCCCATTGTTTTACTTATATTCACATTAGAACAAGAGACAGGTTGCCTCAAGTCATCATAAACAGTGTTTGTAATGAATAGTAGCTCCTTTAACCTTTCGTTAACTTTACTTTCCCACAATTGGACTATAATTGGACTAAAATTGTTTAGCTCCAGAAAAATTCAAAAGCAATTTAAGAACTTTTGATTTTCAAGCCTCATTTTTTTTTAAATTTTATTTATTTATTTGATAGAGACGTAACGAGAGGGAACACAAGCAGGGGGAGTGGGAGAAGGAGAAGCAGGCTTCCTGCAGAGCAGGGAGCCCGATGTGGGGCTCGATCCCAGGACCCTGGGACCACGACCCAAGCCGAAGGCAGACACCTAACGACTGAGACACCCAGAAGCCCCTCAAGCCTCATTTTTAAGATAGATACAAAGTCTTGGGGTGCCTGGGTGGCGCAGTTGGTTAAGTGTCCAACTCTTGGTTTTGGCTCAGGTTATGATCTTGGGGTCCTGAGATTGAGCCCCACAATGGGCTCCATGCTCAGCATGGAGTCTGCTTAAGACTTTCTCTCCCTCTCCCTCTGCCCCTCCCCCCG